TTGTAGTAGTTCTTGTCATTTTATAACCAATCTTTGTTCTGACGCTAGTATTAGGTACTGAAATTGTACTCAAATTGTCACAAACACACTGACAGGTGGACATTTACACCTGCCTTGGTCATTTACTATTGTCTTGGAATATAAACAAAGTATTTATAGGTCCCAGCAATGTTTTGGATATGTGGAAGTATATAATAATGAGGAGGAGGATGATAATAATAATGATAATAATAATAATAATAATAATAATAATAATAATACATAATAATAATAATAGGTAATAATAAGTACCCTTGAAGCATGAAAAACAAAGTCCACCCCTGACAGTGACATGATAAGGGGAGATAACATCTGATAAGAGCTAACGTTTGATGAGCATACATGAGGGTGGGGGAGGGTGCAGCTGATAAGAAAAGGTTAGATGACCATCCCCCTCGCTTTGTTTTTGCTGGTACACAAGCATTTCTGTCTGTCTATTTGTCTGTCCAGCTTCCTGTCTATCCGTCTAGCTCTGTCTCAGAGAGAGCCACAAGACTGCGTCATCACCTTTACTTAATCTTCAAGCAGAGTATAGCACTTTGTCTGGATTTTTGGGTTATCCTAGGTAATTTACACTATGTATACTTGTATTTATGTGTACCTGTGAGACAGACAAAGACGGATTGAAAGAGATAGATAGACACAGAGATCGACAGACCCTAAACTGGGGTTAACATCACTTTCCTCTTAAAAGAGAAGTGTTAATATGACATTACATCAGTGAATCCTTGGTGTTTGCCACACTGTTTGCTCTAGCTGGCGCTCGCTTTAACTGGCGCTCCCACAAGGTACTAAGTGGTCCCAGATTTTTTTAATACTGAGCACACCGAGTGTTAAGACCAATTCTATGCTGACCAGGCATCTCGGGCCAGTCGTGCCAAATTTGGAGGCAGGAAAAATAAAACCTATACGTTTGGGGTGCTACGCATAAGAACGTATATATATACGTTTAGGGGTTAACAATATAGTGACAACAGTGTTTGTGCAGTTATTGTGTATTATAGGAAAAAAATTACAAAATAGTGCTCATATTGGTCTCACAGGCCATAAAAGTTACCTGAAAAAAAAATTAAAAAATAATAGAAAAAAGTACTAAAAAAACAAAATAAATGATTACCGGGTAACAGGCAGTTGGCGATGTTGCCGTATGCCGGTCATTTTCTGTTAACTTCACACCTCCATATCTTAGTAAGTATTGATGGCAAAAATTTTTTGTTTAGCCTATAATTTTTAGAAAAAAAAAAAATATCTTTTCATAAGAAACATTTTTTTTTTTTTTTTCCGACCCTGAGAACAGGTTTGGGAGAGGGCCTGCTGACCCTGAAAAGGTTAAGCAGAAGAGAGCAGTCACTCACCATGTCATCCGTGATGCTAAACGCACTTGTTGGCAGAATTATGTTTGTACCATCACTTCTGCTTCCTCTATGCGTGCAGTCTGGAAAAAAGTACAGAAACTAAGTGGTAAATACTCTCCCAACCCAGCTCCTGTTCTTCGGGTTGCCAGTGTTGATATCGCAAACCCTCTTGATGTTGCCACCGAAATTGGTTATCATCTTATCCGCATCTCTCAGGGGCTTCATCTGTTCCCCTCGTTTCTTTCCTCAAAGTCTGCCAGAAAGTTAGAGCCCTTAAACTTTTCTTCTATTAGAGAAGAATCTTATAATGTGCGTTTTACACTTCTGGAACTGGAAGCAACACACTCAGGTTGCCGGTCATCGGCAGCTGGGCCTGACAGCATTCATATTCAAATGCTACAGCACATCAGTCAGCCCTTGCAGTCCTCTTATGACTCTTTAATCTTATTTGGTCACGAGGAGTTCCTCCCCAGCTGTGGAAATCTACTATTGTTCTCCCTTTCCGCAAACCGGGTACTATGGGACATGATGCCTCCCATTATTGTCCCATTGCTCTTACCAGTGCAATTTGCAAGGTGATAGAACATCTGTTAAATAGACATTTGATATGGTATTTAGAGATGCACAACAGTCTCTCCACTAGTTAATATGGCTGTCAGTAGTGTGTCGCTGATTACTTGTGTAGTATACGTAGATAATCCCAGCTATGTTATAGATAGGCTCCCAGACTCTATAAGCCCCATGGCAAGCTGTGATGCCACGACCCCCTCACATGTGAGCCGCTAGCTACGGGCATCTTCCTCAGATAGATCCCAGCAAGGGCTGTTCTACCATTGACCTGGGGATGTGACTAATGAACAGAGAAAATGTTATTTTAGTGCCAGGAATGTCTATCTTGCTTATTCTGGACCCTATTCGGAAATTGGTATCTGAAATTTCTGTGAAATTGGCATAATTGCCAATTTCTGACCACTTTATTGGATACTTGAAATCAGTAAAAATGAGTGGTTTCTTGTACTCATTCAATAGAAAAAATGGAGTTCTAGTGAAATAGATATGATTTTTGTCGATTATTACACTGAAATTGGCCGAAAATAGGGCTCAAAGTGGGCGAAATCGCCAATGCGTAAACATTGTCGAGACTGCTAACTTCGCGAGAGCATAATTCCGTAAGTTTTCCATTAAATTTCATACTTTTGGTGTCATTATGATTGGGAAGAGAGTATCATTTCATAAGAAAAAAAAAAATTTTTTTCTTTCCAAAAAATTTTCGACCCTGAGAACGAGTTTAGGAGAGGGCCTCTCGACCCTGAAAGGGTTAATGATCTGGCCTCTATTCTTCCATCCAATATTTGGTTATCGCTCTTTGTTGATGACTTCACTATAGCTTGTGCAGGCGCTGACAGTCACCTCATTGCAGTTTCTCTTAAGCATGCGGTCAGCCATGCTTCCAATTGGGCCACCATTCATCGGTTTAAATTTTCTAGTACTAAAACTCGCCAAATTACTTTTGCTAGACATTGTCGTCTCTGATCACCCATTGTACATATATGGCTCGCATATCCCAAAATGTGATACGGTCAGGTTTCTTGGTCTTCTGTTTTACTGTAGGTTATCCTGGAAACCTCACCTTACCTCTCTAAAGGTAATTTGTCATAGCTGGCTGAACCTCCTTAAAACACCCACTCATCTTTCACGGGGGGGGGGGGGGGGCTGATCATAGAACTCTCCAACTACATTCAGCCCTAATTTTATCAAAACTCGATTATGGTGACAAGATATATTCAGCAGCCTTTCCTGCAATTCTCTCCAACCTTAATCTCATCCATCACCTCGGTGCTTTTCGCTCTTCACTGGTTAAGAGGCGAATATTCCATCCTTGTCTAATCGCCGTGATGCTCATTGCCTTCGCTGTTATGTTCGCTGTCATGACCTCCGCAATCCTTCCACATATAGGATAGTCACTGATGTTAGTAGACGTTCTTTATTTGTTCATCGCCCTTGTTTACTCCATCCTTTTTCTCTTTGCCTACATTCACTCTTGTCTTCTCTTCAGTTACCACCTTTCTATGTTCGTGTATCATCTCACTTTTTCCTGCCCCCTAGGGAAGTTCTGATGGTTCATGTCTGTTCTTTCCCACAGCCATGAGCAGAAGCCCAACTGCCTATGGTGGCTTCTCGCTCTCTTTTTCTTAACCACTTCCAATCTCATTATCATGCCATCGTAGTGTACACCGATGGTGCCAAGTCTTCTGATAGCATCTGATTCGCAGCAGTGTTTCCAGACAGCATTGTGTGAGGGCATTTATTATCCCCGGGTGGCATTTTTACGGCTGAATTGTATGCCATTCTTGTAGCACTTATCCGTTTTACATCTACGCCTGTGTCACCATTTGTGGTCATTTCAGACTTCCTTAGTGCTTTACAGGCTAAATGAAAATTTGTTACACCTCATCCCCTGGTTCTTCATATCTGACTTTGGTTTTGCCTTATCTCTAGCAAGCACAAAGATATTGTTTTTTGTTAGGCCCCTGGTCATGTTGACGTACAGGGCAATGAACAGGCAGACACTCTGCGCGGTCAGCAGTACATGACCTCCCAGTTTCATATAGAGATGTTCCATTCACTTGCTGTAATTGCTACCCACCTTTGCACCCATTGGCAACAACGTTGGTCTGATCTGCTCCATAATAAACTACATTCTATTAAACCTATGTTTCTGGCCGTCTTCTTATCATTGGTGTCGAGGTTGGGAGACTACTCTTTCCCATCTTCGCATCGGCCACACTCGTCTTACTCACGGGTATCTCATGGAGAGGCACCCTGTTCCACTCTGTGAGAATTGTCAGGTTACGAAAACTTACCTCCGTCGTCACCGCTCTACTGCCCTTACCTTATCTTCCCTTCTTGCTGATGGACCCTCCTTTAACCCAGACTCTTTCATTGACTTTTTGATAGCAACTGATTTACTGCACAAACTCCGATGATGATGATGCCCCTAGTGCTTCTCACAGCCCTTTGTACCTCAGTCTCTTGCTACCTTCTACCCCTGCACTATGCACTGCCCTGTTGTACTCCATGACCTAATAATCATCCCTCTCCCTCTTCCTACCCAATACCCCTGCACCCTTCCCTGCCCTGCTGCGTTGTATGACTCTTGTAGGTTTAGCGCTTCTTATTATAATGCCCCTTTACCCTCTCCTACACGGATGGACCCTTATGGATGTAGTGCATCTCATGAATATTAAAATTTACCCACCATGGTGCTGTCCTGTATTGGATAGTTAGGTACATGAATAAATAAATGCAATATATCATATGTACATATAAGGGATGAGATATTGGGTTTATAATGTATTCACTCAGGTTCAAAGAAGACCAGAGTTATGCACAGCATTGCAGACACAACTATACGGTACTATAATAAGCTATTGCAGTTGTAAAATATTACATATTTGTAGTTCTGTTTGTTTTAGAAAGTTGATGTTGATATATTTGGGGTTCTGTACATCAGTTTAAAGAGCTTTGTGATTGCATAGTGTTTTTTGCATTGTGATTGAAATAATTATATTTCAGGTAAATAATTGCGAGTTTTAAATATTTTAGATCTGGAAATAAGAAAGTGCCAAAACAGTCATTAGCAATGATGTCAGGAGGAGAGCGTTCTTTTTCAACAGTGGCTTTCATTATTGCATTATGGGAAGTCATGGAATCTCCTGTAAGAATCCTGGATGAATTTGATGTTTTTATGGTAAGTGAATTGACTGCCCCCAATCATTAATTTATTTTTTTTAAGTTGCCTTCTCATGAGAATGATTGCAAATCTTTTAGTGTTGAAACATTTTTCAGGTTAGAATAAGAGAACAAATGAAAGGACAGTAAAAGCTGTTTACACAGAAAATGTATTTAAGATAAGACTCCAGTGCTTTAGCTGTGGAACAAATTTTTAATGCCATCTCAAAATATTTGTTGGTGATAAACAATGGGCTGAGGTGTACTCAAGTCATTAAATTTTTTTTATGAGAAATGAAGTATATTTACTATATAAACTATAAATCTGTAGTGGAGGGAAAGCTGGACAGGGGTCAGCCTAGGAAAGATTGGAGGATGGGGGCAAAGGAGGTTTTGTGTGCGAGGGGCTTGGACTTCCAGCAAGCATGCATGAGCATGTTAGATAGGAGCAAATGGAGAAAAACGGTTTTTAGGACTTGGCATGCTGTTGGAGTGTGAGCAAGGTAACATTCATGAAGGGATTCAGGGAAGCCGGCAGACCAGATTTGAGTCCTGGAGATAGGAAGTAGTGTCTGCACTCTGAAGAAGGGGTGTTAATGTTGCAGTTTTATAACTGTAGTGCAAGCGTGCCTCTGGCAAGACAGCGATGGAGTGAATGATGAAAAATTTTCTTTTTCGGGCCACCCTACCCTGGTGGGACACAACCGATGTGTTAATTAAAAAAAAAACTGTTGATGAATATATTGAGGTAATTAATATATTTGCTTTTGTACTTTACTTTTCATATACGGTGGTCCCTCGTTTTTCGTAGTTAATCTGTTCCTGGAGCTGCTACTATTAACGAAATCTATGATTTGCGAATCAATTTTCCCCATAAGAAATAATGTAAATACAATTAATCCGTTCCTGACACCCAGAAGTATTAAAACAAAAAAATTTTTTACATGAAATATACATGTAGTACATAAACAATACAATGGGAAATGATGAATGAAACATTAACAGCATAACACTTACCTTTATTGGAGATTCTTCTTAGTGTATGGGAGACTGAAGGAGGAGAGAGAGTGGATTGTTTATAGTTTGGAAGGGGAATCCCCTTCCAGCAACACCTCAGGTACCAATTGCTTTTCTGGGGTTGCTTCTCTTCTCTGTTTCTTAATGCCACTAGGACCAGCTTGAGAGTCACTGGAGTCCTGTCTCGCAAAATAACTGTCCAGAGAGCTCTGTTTCTGGTGTCTCTTTAAAACTTCCCTAAAATGGGCCAAGACTTTGTCACTGTACATGTTCCCAACATGGCTTGCAACAACCTTGTCAGGGTGATGTTTCTTCATAAAGCTTTCCATCTTACCCCACATAGCAAAAATCTCTCTAATTTCTGAAGAAGGCACCATCTTCCATCTTTCTTCCTCCTCCTCTGCAGCAAGATTCTGAGCTGCGATCTGTTGCTGTTCCTGCTGAAGCTCTTGCAACTCCTCAGTGGTGAGCTCTTCGTTGTGGTCTTCCACCAATTCTTCCACATCCTCCAAACTCACATCCAACCCCATGGAACTCCCCAGTGCCACAATTGATTTTACAACAGACATAGGCTCATCAGGGTCAGTCCCAAACTCTTCAAAATCTCTCTTGTCGACACAATCTGGCCACAATTTTCTCCAGGCAGAGTTCAAAGTCCTGGTAGTCACTCCCTCCCAAGCCATACCTATAAGGGTTATGCAATGGAGGATGCTGAAGTGTTCTCTCCAAAATTCCCTTAGGGTCAAGTGAGTGTCTGTGGTCACATTCAAGCACCTGTGAAACATTGCTTTGGTATAGAGTTTTTTAAAGTTTGCAATGACCTGCTGGTCCATGGGCTGGAGGAGAGGAGTGGTATTCAGGGGCAAGAACTTTACTGTGATGAACCCAAACTCCTCGAAAATTAGGTCATCCAAGTTTGGAGGATGAGCAGGTGCATTGTCCATTACTAGCAGGCACTTGAGATCCAATTTCTTTTCCAGGAGGTAATTCTTCACACTAGGGCCAAACACTTCATTGAACCACTCGACGAAAATTTCCCTCGTGACCCATGCCTTACTACTAGATTTCCAAAACACACACAATTTACTCTTCATAACATTGTTTTTCCTGAACACACTGGTATTTTCAGAATGGTACACTAGTGTTCACTTTGAAATCCACTAGCATTAGCACAGAACATTAGCATCAGCCTGTCTTTCATAGGCTTGTGTCCTGGCATTGCCTTTTCCTCCTGTGTAATGAAGGTCCTCTTTGGCATTTTCTTCCAAAAGAGGCCTGTTTCGTCACAATTGAACACTTGTTCAGGTTTCAGTCCTTCAGCCTCTATGTACTCCTTGAATTCATGCACATATTTTTCAGCCACCTTGTGGTCCGAACTGGCAGCCTCACCATGCCTTACCACACTGTGTATGCCAGTACGGTTCTTAAATCTCTCAAACCAACCTTTGCTGGCCTTAAATTCACTCACATCACCACTATTTTCAGGCAATTTCTTTACCAGATCGTTGTGCAACTGCCTAGCCTTTTCACAAATAATCGAAGTCATAAGAGTATCTCCTGCTAATTGTTTCTCATTTATCCACACCAATAATAACTTCTCAACCTCTTCGAGTACTGGTGATCTTATTTTTGTCAGCATAGTTACCCCCTTTGCAACAACAGCGTCCTTGATTTCTTTTTTCTTGGCCACTATGGAACATATGGTTGTGTAGGGTTTCTTATACATCCTGGCCAGTTCGGCCGCACTTGTACCACTTTCATATTGTTCAATGATGTTTTTCTTAAATTCAATCATATTTCTCACCTTCTTTACCACAGGCTTGGCATTAGGAGCTTTCTTTGGAGCTATGGTAGCTTATTTAGTACTTGCAAGCACTAAAACAAATGGAATATTATGAAATATTTCACTGGAGCACATGAGGGGACCTTCGCTCACTGGTAAACAATGCCAGACTGGTTGCCGCCCCGGCTCACGCCGTGGGTACGCGTCCCACACGAACTACGACTCGCGAGTCAACCTATGAAAAGTGAGCCCATGTTTATACGAAAATACCCCTATGATTTCCGAAATCTAGGATTGCCGAGAACTACGAAAAGCGAGGGACCACTGTATTCCTAAACTGCAACACTAACAACCCTCCTTCAGAGTGCTGGCACTGTACTTCCCATCTCCAGGAATCAAGTCTGGCCTTTTGGTTTCCCTGAATCCCTTCATAAATGTTACCTTGCTTTCGCTCCAACAGCATGTCAGGTCCTAAAAACCATTTGTCTCCATTTGTTCCTATCTAACATGCTCATGCATGCTTGCTGGAGGTCCAAGCCCCTCGCACACAAAACCTCCTTTGCTCCCATCCTCCAACCTTTCCTAGGCCGACCTCTACCCCGCCTTCCCTCCACTACAGATTTATGCACCCTCGAAGTCATTCTATTTCGTTCCATCCTCTACATGTCCAAACCATCTCAATATGTTATAAGTAGGATTTACATTGTTGAACTTATTCTTTAATACATTTATTGCCTTGCAGGACATAGTTGCCAGACAGCAGAGTATGACCATGATGATAGATGCATCCAAATCCAGGACTCAGTATATCTACTTAACTCCATTGGATATAAACTTGAGTTTTAACAAGAAAAAAAATCCTAGCATTTACAGGTATTTATAGGTCAACTTTCATAATTATTTCAGTATATTTGTACTAATGAAAATTACTAAAGTGTCTTGAGAAATAACTTACAAACATACCAGATTTTCATGTACAGTGGACCCTCGATTATCGGCCGTAATCCGTTCCAGAAGGTCGGTTGATAACCGAAATGGCCTAAATCCGAATTAATATTTCCCATAAGAATTAATGGAAATACAGTTAATCCGTTCCAGACAAAAATATTCACAAAAAAATAATTTTTTTTAATTATGTAAGTTTTACATACCTTTATTGAAGGCTAATGCTGCCTTCTGGAAGATAGGGAGGAGGAAAGAGGGAGGAGTTAGTGTTTGGAAGGGGAATCTCCCTCCATAAAGACTTTAGGTAGGAAACCTTCTCTGGGGTTACTTCCCTTCTTTGTCTTTTAATGCTACTAGGACCAGCTTGAGAGTCACTGGACCCCTGCCTCACAACAAATCTGTCCATAGAGGTCTGTTTCTGGCATCTCTCAAAGATTTCCCTGAAGTGGGACAGGGTTTTGTCACTGAACATGTTGCAGATATGGCTTGTTTCAGCTTGATCAGGGTGGAGTTTCTCTACAAAAACTTGCACCCTATTCCACATTGCACACAACTCTAACCCTTTGACTGTTTGCGTCGTATATATACGTCTTACGCGCCACTGTTTCTGACGTATTATTTATACGCGTAAATACTTGCAGCTTCAAATCGAGCAGGAGAAAGCTGGTAGGCCCACATGTGAGAGAATGAGTCAGTGTGCACCACATAAAAAAAATCCTTTAGCACGCAGTGCATGATGAGAAAAAAAAAAATTCTGACCGTTTTTTTGGATTAAAACGCCGACTTTGAGGTGTATTTTCGTATAGTATTTATCGTTGTATTCTCATTTTCATGGTCTCAGGTGATAAAATGAAAAACATATTACAGAAATAGAGATGATTTTCATTACTGAAAACGACCTTAAAATTGAGCTCAAAGTAGCAGAAATGTTCGATTTTTATCGATGTTCAGGAGTAAGCAAATTACACCATACATCCAATACACATCAACTGGGGAGTCTAATATTCTTTCACTGGTGCACTGATATTATTTATACCATTTTTACAATAATGCATTAGTCTGCATAACAGTAAATTTTGTATTTTTTTGTATGAATAAAAAATCAATATAGAAAGCAATAGTAATATAAGAGGGGCCTAGAGACATGACTAATGAACAGAGGACATGTTATTTTAGTGCCAAGAATGTCTACATTGTTTATTCTGGACCCTATTTTGAAACTGGCATCTTTTTTAATTTGTGTGATATTCGCCAAATTGCCAATTTCTGACCACTTTATTGGGAAGTTCAAATCAGTAAATGGGCGGTTTCTTGTACTCAACTGATAGAAAATATGGAGTTCTAAAGAAATAGCTATGAGTTTGGTCAACTGGAACAACGGAATTGGCCAAAACCAGGGCTCAAAGTCGGCGAAATTGCCAATGCGTATATGGTATATGTCGCCGAGACCGCTAACTTCGCAGGAGCGTAATTCTGTGAGTTTTCGACCAAATTTCATATTTTTGGTGTCGTTACCATCGGGAAAAGATTCGCTATCATTTCATAAGAAAAAATTTTTTTTTTTTTTTTTTTCAAAACTTTTGCGACATAGAATGACAATTTCAGAAAGGAGCTTGCAGCAGTCAAAGGGTTAATCTGTCATTTACTGCTACAGTACATTCATTACTACCCTTAAAATATTTGTAGTCTTAATGTAGGGCAAGAGGTGAGTAGTATTTATTTGTAGGAAGTCTGTGTAGGTAGCAGTTGATGTAGGTACAGTACACGTATGTAGCCCCCCATCCCCCCAAGGCTACACTACACAGCTATATTACAATACACAGCCATATTATTACCATGTTTACTGAGTTTAATTGTTTCTAACTAGTTTTAGAGGCCATCATAAACAAAGGGAGAAGTAATGAATAATTCATAGCAAGAATTGTAAACAAATACATATGAAGGGCGGTTACTGCACCAGTCGCTAGATTCACAGTTTTCTCTAATGCTGCATCAAAGAAAACCTAATGTTTACTCTCCATCCCACTCTCCACTCGATAACATATAAACATTGCATGTTTATGTGCTACATGATATGTAACGTGTTTCTTATATAATTTTGAAGAAAATATAGGTGGATTAATGAAAATGTCTATACAGTGGACCCCCGGTTAACGATATTTTTTCAATCCAGAAGTATGTTCAGGTGCCAGTACTGACCGAATTTGTTCCCATAAGGAATATTGTGAAGTAGATTAGTCCATTTCAGACCCCCAAACATACACGTACAAACGCACTTACATAAATACGCTTACATAATTGGTCGCATTCGGAGGTGATCGTTATGCGGGGGTCCACTGTATTAACATAAAATAAGACATTTAATGTACCAGTGATTATTATTAAATATACATCGCATATAAATATTGCATGTTTTCATATACTATGTAACGTCTTTCTTTGGGCCCATGGTTGCTTATTTTGTAGTTGTACTCGATCAATAATCACAAAAAACAATGGATTATAGCAAAATGTTTAGATGAATGAGCAGAAGCTTCCTCACTCGCCCAGAGACAAAGCCAAACTGACTCGCAAGCGGCCCCAGCCGGCGGATGGATGCCTCCCAAATGGGCAATAACCGAATTTACAGCCAATAACTGGGTGCCGAAAAACCGGCCGATAACCGAGTTGGTCGATAACTGAACTGACCGATAACCGGGGCTCCACTGTATTTTGTAAGCAATACTGTTAGAATCTTTTTTTGTACCATAAACTTTGGAGGGTTTAAAGTTTAAATAATAATGAAAGCAAAAAGTGTTGAATGATGGTGAAAATGTTTTTCTGTTTTGGGTCACCCTGCTTCGGTGGGAGATAACTGACGTGTTGAAATAAAAAAAAAAAAAATATATTTCCTGTCTTAAAGTACACATTGATTTCTGTACATGGGCAATATTGGGAAATGAATGCTTGGTAATGCTTTAAGAAAAATGAATAATGTTAAATGAAGATTGGTTGCTGTATTCTCTATTTTGCCTTTCTATGGTATGTATTGTTTACCCATCATTATAAACAGTTGTATATTTCCAGTACAAGACAACAATACATCATTATATTCGGATGTTCAAACAGCTGTAGAGCATTTTTCCTAACACTGTTAATCTGACATCCTCCATAGTCTTTACACTATTACTATTTTTTTTTTCTTACCAGGTAGGTAGGTACACTCTTTAATTTATTAGATAATTATTTAACCACAAAATTTATCTTGCAGGATGCCAGACCCTGAGAGAAATGCTGCAGATAGAAATTAAAACAAGAAATTTAGAACAAGATATCAAAGATACACATGTTAGAATAAACAAAATTACAAAGTTGGACGGTTAAGAGATTATTTTTTTTACAAGTTTTTATGAATGAAGAAAATTTAATTAAAAATAAAAAAAACTTACTGTATTTTTATATTTCACATTTAACTAAGATATAATCAAGGTCTTGTGGTGTTTGGTTGTTCTTGTTGCATTGAAACAGTATTGAATGGAGAAGCACTGTAGTTATTTGCATATTGTGTGTGCAAATGGTGACGTAAGAAATTTGCATTTTTTTGCATGCCTTCAAGCTTTTTAATTTCTAAAGAAATCTTAATATTATCATTATGAGAAGTAATGAACCAGTAGGGGTTATACCATGCCTGAAGAATGGGAAGTAATCAGTTTTTAATTGAGAAAGGATAAAGTAACTAATTTTTTTAATTCAGTGACCTTTGTATACATTATTTTTAATATCTTGTCTTAAGATATTTGTCATTTAAGTTAGTTATTTAAATATTTGATAATATAGTTTCTGATAAATATCAGGTTATAGTTTGTTGTAAATACTTCAACCTTGTAAACCATTAAGAGAATTTCACTTGAGTTGTCCACTGTAATGAGATAAACACTACATGTAATGATGCACTGTGCTGTTCAGGTTATAAATTTTATACATGCTTCCTTGATTTCTCTCACAAATTTCATTTCTAGAAATTCTGTATATATGAGTGTCAGTATTAGTGAAGTTATAGGAATATTTGAGCTATGGCCTCTGAAAGGCAGTGAATCTGAAATGAAACTTATTACATGAAAAGAATTTACTGGTGTACACAAATTTTTAAATTGTGTGAATCTCTTGTAATAATGGGGAAAGCACTACACCTATAGGAGTCGTACAGCACATGGGAAATGGGAGGCAATCAGGGTCAATGCAAGGAAGAGACAGGTCCACTTCCTCTGTGCCTGTGTAAATCAAGCTTTTATTGTCGTAATAGGAGCTTGTTGTGTACCTGTCTTTTCTTCACTACTGTCGGCAGTACACTTTTTTATATGGTTAATTGTTGTAAGGTTAGCATGGGTGCCACTATGTCTACAATTCAGGTTTTTACAGACGACTCTCACCATGGTTGCAAACCCCACTTGATTTCAGTTTTCAATCATGTAATTGTGATTTCACAAGTTTATTTCCAACTCTCCCTCTGTTGTCCACTCCATTCTTGCTACTTTATAACCCTGCACTATCCCCTGCCCCACTGCACTGTATGACCCTTGTAGGATTAGTACTATTTTGGTTATAATAAAAATTATGAAATTTATTTTCTATCATAACATAAATGAATATCTGATGCATTGGACTTGATGCATTGATTGGGACTTCTACTAAACACCCTTGGGGCTGTACTGGATACCTATAGTTATGTATATGCATGGTATACAATAGCGACAAGATGAAGAATTAAGACATGAAACGTCTGGGTATCTTTATTGTAGATGTTTTGCCATCCAGTGGCTTTATCAAGACAAATAAAGACATAATTGGAAGACAGTAGACCTGTATACAAAAGATGAGGTAATCAGTCCTTCAGCCTTGGAGTTGAAGAGTACTGTAGTAGTGAAGAGTCTGAAGACAAGGCACGAAGACTGGCGCTTATATACCAATAATAGTCTTTGTCTGCTACACATCCCTCACCTGACACCGGTATGCATGTGCTAGTCTTCACGCCTTTTCTTCAGGCTTTTTGCAACTACAGTACTCTTCAACTCCAAGGCTGAGGGACTGATTACCTCATCTTTTGTATAGTTCTACCGTCTTCCAATTATGTCCTTAAATTTGTATTGATAAAACCACTGGATGGCAAAATGTCTAAAATAAAGATACCCAGATGTTGCACATGTCTAATTTTTCACAAACTGTAGCACCCTTAATGGACAATACTGCCTGCAGTGGGCTTCATTCATTGTAATGGGTCTTGGGCCACTTATTTTGTCCATTGTATCTGATACCCATTACATTAGAGTGCATTATGTTGAGGCTGTATTGTGCTTAAGCCCATCTGAATACGTTAGCATCACTGTGTCCATCATGGATAGATTGTGATCAGCAAGAACATTGTTGATTAGGGTGTCAGTTATTGCATTGTGCAGCTCTCAGGAAATATGTGGACATTTATTACCTCATTATTAAGTTCAGTTTTATGAAAGGCTATACAGTAAATCCATAGCATTCTTTCCCTATGTATTTTGTCATTAACCCCTAAATGGTCCAAACGTATATGTACGTCCTCTTTCCCAGTGCCCCGAATATTTTGAAAAATAATTTTTTTTCTCTCTCTCATTGAAATAGAGAAAATTTTTCAGTGTTATAGAATTAAAAAAAAAAAATAGGGTCAGTACTTACTGAGATATGAGGCTGCAAAGTTGGCACTTAATGCTCACCTGATGGCAACATCGAGTCCTGCTGCTTGTAGAAGTGTTGCCAATATGCCATTTTTTCTCATTTTTATATTTTATATGATTTTTATGTTCTGATAATTACAATTTATTGTAGTTCTTTTCATTTCATAACCAATCTTTCTTCTGACACTAATATTAGGTACTAAAATTATCACAAGCACATTGACAGGTGGACATTTACACCTGCCTTGGTCATTTACTATTGTCTAGGAATATATACGAAGTGTTTATAGGTCCCAGCAATGTTTCAGATATAGAAGAAGTTCCCTTGAAGCAATGCTAAGACCTGTGTCGGTGACAAGCATCCAGGAGGGCAGAAATAAGGGATGACGTTTGACGGGCACCAGCAAGGGTGCAGAGATAAAGGTTAACATTTGATGAGCTGGTATCTCTGTATGCTTGTCTCTTTCTGTCTCTCTCTGTCTCGGAGAGAGCCACTGTGAACCAACAGGTACTCTTATGCATTATATCTACAAGCACAGTATAGCACTTTGGAGTTTTTTAGGTTATCCTAGGTTCTGTACACTATGTATAATTGTATTTGTGTGTACCTGTAAGACAGATAAAAATAGATAGATAGACCGACAGACCCTAAACTTGGAGTTAACATCACTTTCCTCTTAAAAGGGGAGTGTTAGTATGACATTACATCAGTGAATCCTTGGTGTTAGCCGCACTTTGCTCTAGTTGGCGCCCAATTTAACTGGCGCTCCCACAAGGTACTAAGTGGTCCCAGATTTTTTTAATATGGTGCACACCAAGTGTTAAGACCCATTCTATGCTGACCAGGCATCTCAGGTCAATCATGCTAAATTTGGAGGCAGGAAAAGTATAAACATATATGTTTGGGGCTCTAGCTGTAAGAACGTATACATATATATACATTTGGACCGTTTAGGGCTTAATTATATATACCTTGTATACTCTTCCTTAGACTACATTCTTATTACCCAAAAATTCTAGTAATATTTCTCTTAACCCTTTCACTGTCAGTCCCATAATATTACGGCTTGCAAGCCAGTGTCGGTCCTGTAATACTACACCAAAATTCTAGCACCTTCAGATCTGATGGGAGAAAGCTGATAGGCCTACATGCGAGAGAGTGGGTCTCTGCGCTCACTGTGCGCAGTATAAAAAAAAATCAAGGAGGCCGCAATGCATTGTGGGAGTGCCATTTCAGTATGCCTTGTTCACCATGCCTAGTGGTAAGGAATACCTTACTCCCCGGTGAATTGGGACTCTTCCCTTCCCAAGTGATACTTATAACATAGATGGAAGTGTCAGTGAAGATGAATTTTACGGTTTTGAGGAGTTTGTGACGAAAGCAATGCCCAAGATACCAGAAATAGTGCTGAAAACCCAGACGACCGTCAACCTTCCACCTCTGGTGCTGAGCTGTCTCATTCATGTTCAGTTGTACCACAGCGAGAGGGGAAACTCATATTTTCCCATGTCTCAAAGAATAAGTAAGTTTATTTAGGTATTCACAAATGCAGTTACATAGATTATTATACATAGCAGCATGTGTAGAGAACCTAGGATAGCCCAAAATAGTCAGTGACTTGTTTCCATGTGGGTGGTGGGGAAGACTGTATGGGTAATGTTACAATTAGGATGGATAATATACATGCGGCAGCAGGTCATGGTGTAATGCTTCATGTAGCACCAGCAGCACCCCAAGCTGGTAGCTAAGCTGCTGATTCAGCACATGCACAACAAAGGCCACCTTCAACCACCCACACACCACAACAAAGACCAGTTTTAACCACCCATGCACCACAACAACTTGCACAACCATAACAACCCACCCACAAAAATGCAGAGACACTCGTTTTATAAGTGAGGAGTGTAAAACAGCACTGTGCATAACATTTCAAAAAGTCCCACAAGCTGCAGCACTTATAGGAACGTGTCCAGTGACTGGGTATATATATAGAACAATAGTAATAAACAACTTTTTTAACTTTTGTAAACAACATAATGATAATATATGTATGATTATTGTGTTGCATACAATCATACAATATGCATTATGTTGGTCTCACAGGCCACAAAAGTTACTTTAAAAAATAAAATATTAGAAAAGAAAAAAATTGAATAAAAGTAAAAATATTATTACCGAATGAGCGGCAGTCGCCGATGTTGCTGTCAGCAGTTCACTTTGTCAACTTCATGCCTTTGTATCTCGGTAACTACTGGTCGCAATTTTTTGTTTATCTTTAATAACATTTTTTTTTTTTTTTTTAGCGGTGCTCTCACCAGTGAAAGGGTTAATGGCATAGTACTGATATTTATTCAGATTTTTCTGTAAAGCTCATATTTTTTAGAACAAATGTGAAGTCCGTTGAATAAATTCTCAAAGTTGATTAATGTATACAGTTACCATTTTCTTTTCCATAACCTATTTTATTTAATCACATGTATTTTTTGTATTGTAACATACTGCCTATTAATGATCCATTTCTCGAATGTCTTCCTTCGTTTTTTGTTGCATGTTGCACTAACCAAAAAAGAGCTTACACCTCGTGCACCAAATGGTCACATTCTACAAATAAATTTGGTGAAAAAAAAAAAACATTCAAAATTCTGTTATACTCCCAATGCAGTTAAGTCAGAATCAGGAAAAATACTCATTTCTTTTATTATTTTATACAGAATTTAAAGGCATACCTATCACCAAATTGCTATTTACCAAAAATAAGTGCATTTGATAATAAAATTAAATAATTCTCTCGCCTCTTTCTACTCCCTACGGCACCAACCAACCAGCCTGTTTGTTACTTCCAGGCGTCACCATCTCAGCAGCCCAGTCTGAGATCAGACCTCCTAGAGACAACGACTCTCTCTCTCCCCCTCCATACCTAGTCCAAACTTCATTAGTCGTGAACCTGAGATCAAATCTCTCTTCCTTCCCTCTCCTCCATACCTAGTCTTGATTGCATCAGCAGGATCCAATTCAAAAGATGAAAGAGCTGCAGGACCAATCAACTTTTCTAGATGGCAATACAGCTAAGTACAATCTGAAGCTGCTCATGAGGTGAAAAATATACAGTCTCCTGGTAATTTGCAAACACAAAAGCATGGATTGAAAAAAAAAAAAATGGTTTGTCATATTTTTGTCCTGTTGAAAAATCCTCTGCTGCATTGCTGCTTGTTAACAACACAAAAATGCATCCCGTGACATTAACATGCATTTCCATTATTATTAACTAAGCGCTAAACTCCCAAACATCATATAGTGCTGTCATGCGCTTTTAAACATGTCAAACTTCAGTTCTTAACAATACCACAGCCTTGATTCGACCCATAGATTAGTGTCACCAAATCATCATATTCATTTTATATAAAGAAAACATTCCCAAAACTTGTTACACCAGTGGAGAGAAGCACCCAAGAAATCGAATTTTGATAGAAATTTAACTCTTTCAGGGCTTCCGACGTACTAGTACGGCTTACGCACCAGGGTTTTTGACATACTAGTACAACTAAATTTTAGCGCCTTCAAATCTAATGAGAGAAAGCTGGTAGGCCTACATATGAAAGAATGGGTCTATGTGGTCAATGTGCACAGTATAAAAAAAATCCTGCAGCACAGTGCATAATGAGAAAAAAAAAAAACTCCGACCATGTTTTTGGTTTAAAACAGTGACTTTGCAGTGTATTGTCGTATGGTATTTGTGAAGGCTTACTCAGCCCTGTAACAACTTCAGACAGTATTACCAAGGCTGGCTCCTCCTCAGGAAAATTAATGAATAGAAAAAGAACAAAAACTGACAAACAAACATTTTATTATTTAGAAAATATAAAATATAAAACACTTAAATATGAAATATTAATCCTACCTTAAAGAAAATGAAAAATATAAATATCTGAATTCAACGCTAATATATATATATATATAAAACTTGGGTGTCTGGTGTTGGTGACACTGCGTGTTGTTGAAATCGTAGCCGTTGTCGATGATGGGGGAGGGGTTCGCAGGTGTTGATGACAACCCACCGGCTCGTTCTTCACAGATTTTCTAGCCGTCAATAATCCATCCAGATGACAGGAAAGCAGGTTTTTTTTTCCACTGCAATGATGAGGGGTTATATCCTGCTACTTGCATACACAAACAGGTAAGTGGATCAGAAATTGGGACGCCTCAGAACGTCAGTCCGTCTCCTTCAATTTCTACTCGTTGATTAGCAGGTGACCCCCTCTGTCCTTTCAAGCTGTAAAGAGAGACAGATTACCCACTGCTTAAGAAATCACTCTCCATGATAAGTACAATACCTAAAAGATGTGGTGATTATTAAAACATTTTAACCTATCAAGACTGAAAGGACTAAGTTAATTATTGGTCAAAAGTGAAGCTTTCAACCAATAAGTCCACTAAAATATGATCAGGCATGTACTTCCAGTAGTGTTGGGAGCTGAGAGTCGAGTGACTTACTGTTTGACCGGAGCCCCACACGTCACCTTTCGGGGGGGGGGAAGGGATAGCAGGAGCTAGACTGACCCTACCTTAACAAGCAGCCGGCAATCAAACTATCACTTTCGGGGAGGGGGAAAAAGGGGGGGGGAATAGCAGGAGCTGGACTTACCCTACCTTAACAAGTAGCCGGCAATGAAACTATTGTTACTATATACTCCCTCGCTACTCCTATCTATTGAACTTTTCCCTCACAGTATTTATGGTTGTATTTTAGTTTTCCTGGTCTAATTTTATAGAATGGAAGACATATTAAAGAAATTGAGATGATTTTGATGGTTTTCATAATGAAAAGTACCTTGAAATTGAGCTCAAATTAGCAGAAATGTTCGATTATTACCAAAGTTCAAAAGTAGACAAATCATGCCAAGTGTCCAGTACACGTCAACTGGTGAGTCTAATATTCTTTCACAAGTGTGCTGATATTATTTATACCATTTCTACACTAATGCAGTAGTCTGCATAACAATAAATCATCTATTTTTTTGTGAGAATAAAAATTCAAAGTAGAAAGCAAAAGAGATGCAAGAAGGGCCTGGGACATGACTAATGAACAGAGAAAATGCTATTTTAGTGTCAAGAATGTCTGTCTTGTTTATTCTGAACCCTATTTGGAAATTGGCATCTTCTGAAATTTTTGTGAAATTGGCAAAATTGCCAATTTCTGACCACTTTATTGGATACTTGAAATCGGTAAATGGGTGGTTTCTTGTACTCATTCAATAGAAAAAATAGAGCTCTGGCAAAATAATATGATTTCTGACAACTAGTACACTGGAATTGGCCAAAAATAGGGCTCAAAGTGGGTGAAATCGCCGATGCATAAACATCGTCGAGAGCATAATTCCGTAAGTTTTCCATCAAATTTCATACTTTTGGTGTCATTATGATTGGGAAAAGATTCTATCATTTCATTAGAAAAAATTAAATTTTCCAAAAAATTTTCAACCCTGAGAATGAGTTTAGGAGAGGGCCTCTCGACCCTGAAAGGGTTAATATTGCAAGTCACAAATATTATTGATGATTTTGGTATGAAGTGAGCCAGTAAGGGGACATAAATAATGTCTTGAAGATATCCCCCCCAAGAGAGAACCCGCAATGGATTCAAATTAGACGAGTTTAGATTTAGAAAGGACATAGGAAAGTATTGGTTTGGAAATAGAGCAGTTGATGAATGGAATAGTTTACCTAGTAGGGCAATTGAAGTTAAAACCTTGGGTAGTTTCAAGTTTAGGTTCAATAAATACATGAGCGAGAGGGGTTGGATTTGAGCGATTATAATAATCAAAAAGAAGCGCTAAGCCACAAGGGCTATACAGCAGGATTTGAGCGAGACTTGCACATGGGTAAATAGATTTATCAGAGCTTATTGTTAGGGTAGCACTGAAAGCGAGTTGGGCAAATATTCTGTTAATGGGTTGGATTGTAAGGGACCTGCCCAGTATGGGCCAACAGGTCTGCTGCAGTGTTCCTTCTTATGTTCTTATCATCAAAACTAAGTGCTAAACCCACAAGGGCCATGCAGTGCTACTACAGTCGGTACAATGAGCAATGCATGGAAGAAATCTTTGTCAGAATATGTTAATAGTTTCAACAAATCGTTTGCAGATATTCACAAGACAATTTCCTTAGGTGTGCAGGGGTTGAGGAGGATGATGAGCCCCTCAGCAATAACTTGATGGGGTTTATGAACTTACACTCAGAGTAATATCACTTTTTTCTTCCTTTTTATTTTTAGAAGGTTATAAATGACCATAATTTTTAAAGGGGTGGACCGGTAAGCCAGCGGAAGGCCTCGGTCAGATGACCAAAAGCTCCAAAGGCGGGTCATCATCTGACTAAGACCCGCGTCAGGAAACATTTGTCCTGTTTCCTGACAAACCTTACCTAACCTAACCTACACTCAGATTATTATTAGTCATAACTAAGCATTAAACCCACAAATGCTTAGGAGAGCAACAGCAAGTACAGTAAGGCATTCATCAATGCACCCAGTTTGACTGGAAAATCCTGCTAAAGGGATGCACATTTTTGAAGAGGACTTCAAATACTAGTCCATTGACTGATGCACTGATGGCATGAATAACCTTTTAAATTTGCAATGCATTGGAGTGCTACAGGAATGTTCACGTAAATTTCGAGCCAGACGACCATCAATTAAAAGTTTTCTCGAGTGCTAGCCTCTGTATCCAAGGCATCTTCATTTGATAAAATGACCCTTGTTGGTTTAGCACTTTGATTATAATAATTTATTTGATAAGAGGACAATTTTACATTATTATTATTATTATAATCAAAAAGAAGCGCTAAGCCACAAGGGCTATACAGCGCTGCAGGGTAGGGAAGGAAGCAAGGGAATTGGATGGCAGAAGGGAGGGGGGATGATCAGCAGGTCACAGAAAACAGCGGGGCAGGGGATAGTACGGGGATAGAAGGTAGCAAGAGATTGAAGTAGAAAGGGCTGAAGGTATCAGAATTTGTGAAGTAAGTCAGTCGTTGTCAAAAAGTCAATGAGAGTGTCCGGATGAAAGGTGGGTCCATCAGCGAGAAGGGAAGGTAAAGAGAGAGCAGCGGAGCGAAGACGACGACAGAGGTAAATTCTGCGTGCTCGTTGATAAAGTGGGCAGTCCAACAGAATGTGGCTGACTGATAATGGAGCTTGGCAATTCTCACAGAGAGGAGCAAGACGCCTCTCCATGAGATATCCATGAGTAAGACGAGTATGGCCAATGCGAAGACGGGAGAGAGTAGTCTCCCAACCTCGACACTGGTGATAAGAAGACGGCCAGTGACCTATACTCGGTTTAATAGACTGAAGTTTGTTGCCGAGCATAGTAGACCAACGTTGTTGCCAACGGGTGTGAAGGTGGGAAGATATTGCAGCAAAATAGTCGTAAATGGAATACCTCTATAAGAAACTGGTAGGTCATGTACTGCTGACGCGCAGCAGTGTCTGCCTGTTCATTGCCCTGTACGTCAACATGACCAGGGACCCAACAAAAAACAATATCTTTATGCTTGGTAAATTATTATTATTATTATTATTATAATCAAGGGGGAAGCGCTAAACCCGGAGGATTATACAGCGCCTGGGGGGGGATATGTGGAAGGCATTCAGGCTTAATTCGGGGAACTGGAGCACAGATCCAATTCCCTAAATCAAGAGCCCCTCACCAACATCAAGGAACCTTCCTTGAGGGGTATGCTTGGTAAAGATGCGGCGTAGCCAAAGTTGGATACGGAGGACTAAGGGGTG